CGTGTAGCCCTTCTCGAGGAGGGTTCGGACTATCCAGGATCCGATGAACCCGTTTGCTCCTGTCACGCACACCGTCTCTTTCGCCATGCCTTATCAGCTTCTTCTTTGTATTTTTTCCTCTCTGTTGTTTGATGTGTATGCCTTTAAGGTTTTTTCTCTCTGTAATCTGAGTTCAGTCTTGTGTCAAATTTCTCATTTTGATTTCCGGAGCGAATATCGGATAGTTTGGTGTTCGTTAGATTTTTTTCGAAAAAAAATAAAAATATAATTTTTTCACTAAAAGTTTATTTTTTTGGATTTCTTTCCAAGATATATTTTTTTTCCTAGAAAAAAAAAAAAGAAAACTAGTTGTTGTCTGGATATCATCCACTTGTTATTCCATTGACGATTCTCCCCTGAAACACTGACCGTAGGTTCCGTTCTCTTTTTCTTTTTCTTTTGCAATTTACAGTTCAAGTAGATGAAAGCCGCCGGAGCGCCGTCGCAAAGAGGTGGATCCGCCGCCTGCTGCTACCGTTCTTCATCGTCTTCCTCCTCTCGCCGTAGAGTTCTCGTGGTGAAGATGGGAAAGAACAAGAGTCTTCCTCCACCTTCCTCCTCCAAGGTCCACATAATTCCCTCGCTTTGCCCAGAAGTTTTAGAATTTCGCAAGAGAATCCCATTGTTACACTCTTGTGAATGTGTGTGTGAATTGTTTCAACTAGAAAGCAAGTATAGTCTGAGAAAATACGATATGATGATCTGTGTTTCAAGCAGAAACGTGTACATATTGATCCAGTATCGATTTCGTGAAGCAGGATTCAGAGCCAACTCCCCCGAGAATCACATCAAATGTGAAGCAGAATCTACAGTTTTTGAAGTTATGGAAGGCATGTAGCTTTGTCTTGTTCCATGATTATGATGAACATGTTTTGTTATGCATAGATTATATACCTGTAATATTATTACATTGTTGTGTGTGTATGTATATATGTAGGACTTTCAGAAGAGGAGGTCTGGAACGCCTAAGCCGGCCACTAGTTACAGGAAGAAGAAGGCGGAAAAAGAGGAGATTCCAGAAGACAGTGAGCTCTATCGTGACCCTACATCAACCCTTTACTAGTAATGTACCCTTCAAAGGTTTTTTCTTGTTTTTTTGTTACCTTGTTTCAAGAATCGGCCTTTTTCTCTTCTTTAGGTTGGAAATAAGGGAAAAAAGAATCAGGGTTTTGTGTTTCCTGAAAGTGGTTTTACAGCACGAACCAGGGTCTTGACGATGCAGTTCCTGTCTTGCTGGTTGATGGTTACAATGTATGCGGATACTGGGTGAAGTTAAAGAAGCATTTCATGAAAGGAAGGCTTGACATTGCCCGCCAAAAGCTGATCGATGAACTCGTGACATTCAGTATGGTAAAGGGTATGCATTCTTGATGTCGGTTTCTTATTTCATCGGGTGTGAATCTTTGCGGGACAGTTGATTCATTCATGCATATGCGTTTGTCTGAAATGATGGTTGTAGAGGTTAAGGTTGTGGTAGTATTTGATGCCCTTTTCTCTGGCATCCCGACACATCAAGAAAACTTTGCCGGGTAATTTACCTTTTTTTTTCTGTGTTACCGTCTCCTCTAATGTCTTTTCTTCTTTCACATCACCTGAAGAAGTGATTCTACTGCCAGTGTTGACGTGATTTTCTCGGGAGAATCTTGTGCCGACGCTTGGATTGAAAAGGAGGCAAGCAATCTGAAACTTTTTCGGCTTAAAGAAGTTCCAACAGGATATATAGAATATTTCTCTCATAGTGAATCCATGTCAATAAAGGTGGTTGCTTTAAGGGAAGATGGGTGCCCTAAGGTCTGGGTTGTAACATCTGATGTTTGTCAGCAACATGCAGCACATGGAGCGGTAATATGGGGACTTGTTCAATTATCTTAAACTGTGTTTGTATTGATTTTGTGTTCATACTGCCGCCATTAATGCTCTGTGACTTGATTCTAAGAGCTTCTCTCTGCAGGGAGCTTATGTTTGGAGCTGCAAGGCTCTGGTTTCCGAGGTACGAGCCATAACCGGAACACCCTTTCTCTTGGATTTTCCCTCTGTAAGATTCTTGAACATGACTTGAAACAAAACTAACGTTTAGATCAAAGCGACGCACAAAGAGGTGGAGAGGATGATGCAAGAAACAAGGTGCTGTCTGGTTTTTGTGTTCCAAAACTTTTTTTCCTTGCTACAGAGCGTTTGGGGATACTGAATCTTGGTTTGACCAGGTCAACGTCTTTCCAAGGGAGATTGCTGAAACACAATCTTGATTCCGAAGTAGTTGATGCCCTGAAAGATCTAAGAGACAAACTGTCGGACAACGAATCCAATAGATGACACACCCGTCATACAAGAACAAAGGGTCTGGCACTCTGCATATTCAAGAGACGGAAACAGAAAAATCTCAGGATTGTGTTATTCTTTTTTCTGATTGTATCGAATCTTTCACGTGTTGGGAAGAGCTCTTGCGTGGATCTTGTCAAGGCTAATTTAGTAATTTAACATACGTATATAACCCAGAATTCAGTTGGGAAATGAGAAACATATAAAGAGAGTAAAAAAGCTGAGAACGGAGATGATGGTGCTACAGAGGGGACGCGAAACAGGACACACCAAACGGTGCCGTTTTCAGTGGCCAGCCGTTACTCTTGATAAATTGGGCCGCTAATGGGCCGTTAATGTAAGAAAGTGGGCCACGGATGGAAAAGGAAACTAGTGTAATTTGTAATATATATTCTTTACAAAATAAAACATGAAATTCGAGATACGAATCGATTTAATTGATCACACAGAAAATCTTTTTCCGTCAAGTAAAAGTAAAATTTAGATTTGCTATTGAAAAATTTAATACTAGCGGAAAGAAAAAGTAAAATATATTATTCACATATCAATTGAAAAGGAAAATAAAGAGAAATTAGTGTAAAAAAAATGGAAACCCTAACATTATTCGAAAATGTAAACGGCTAGTCGAACTAGAAGTATCACAAAGAAAACGTAAAAATGGAAATTAAGTTAAAAAAAAAAAAATTTCCTTTTCCTCCTTTCCCGCCACACTATAGATATGAGAAGAAGAAGCAAAGTCTCCCAGACAAAAAACACAGAGACAGACACCAACCTTCTTCTTTCAGAGAGAGAGAGAGAGAGAGATTGCAGAAGGAGAAAAATGCCGGGAGGAGGAGGAGACGATCAGGGTATTCCCGTAGCGGCTGTGGTGATTCTGATAGCGGCGATTCTGTTGGTGTTTGTGCCCAATATGGGATTCTCCGGCAGGAGTTATCAGTCAGTGCCAACGAAACCTAAAATCCGACCAAGCGGTGTCGGGCCTTTTCTGATGTTCGTCGGCGTCATCGGTATCATACTTATGATTGTCCTCACCTCCAACGCCGACAAGATTCAACAAAGCGCCTCTTCCAACTCTGATAGCATCCTCTCCTCCATCCTTATCGTCCTCGTCGTCTTCCTCTTTCTCTACTTCTACATGTTTTAGTTTTCCATTTTTATTATTATTATTATTATTATTTAGTTCTCCTCGGATCATACTTTGTTATAGTTTATATTTTACTTTTATATAATAGTTTGTGTTGCTAAATGACTGAAATTTTTTTTCTAATGATATCTTGATTTTTTTAATAGTTCACATATTGATATTATTGATAATCTTACAAATGCATATGTTTTTGTCATATAATGAACGGATCTGTATACGTATGTAATTTATGAATATATTTACTAGGAATAAATTTTGTAAAATTTTGCTGTAGCAGGCAATTAAATTATACACCAAATACATATATATATATATATATGAGTGTATATCGGTATTTGTAATACAAAAAAATTATTTGTATGTGAAATTTCAAAAGTTGGAAGCCACAAGCAATAGGACTATGGAATGACACTCGGAAAAAAAAAAAGACATATGCGTCTTTTTTTAATGCTTTTTGTCAATAAAATATAAAATTTATAAAATATGAATATTTTGTGATATTAATATCACCCATAAATACACGTCGTCCCTGTTCTCTTCGTCAGCCCCCAAATTTGTCTTTGCATCGTTTCCTTTCTCGTTTTAGGGTTTTTTTTTCCGGTCTTGCTCTCCTCTTTTCTATTTTATCTTTTTTCCTCATTAAATTCCCACATTGAATCAAATTGAACCCCACCGAAGTAAGCAATTCCTCAAATTCAACCCCGAAGAACAAAGCCCAGCCCTTGTTTTTTTTCTCTCCTGCTTTTTTTCTGGATCTCGAAACTGCGCCGCATTCATCTGGAGCTCGATTCGGTTAATCGCCGGAATACCGACCACCGTCGGCGTCGTGAGGGTGGCTCATTCTCTTTCGTGATTGTCTGCGAAGTTGCGGCGGAGAGAAAATGGAGGGAATCCCTCATCCCATACCTCGTACTGTCGAAGAGGTCTTTAGCGACTTCAGGGGTCGACGAGCTGGGCTGATCAAAGCTCTCACGACCGGTGAGCTGTGTTTCCTCTCTCTTCTGTTTTTGGTCTTGTCCGAATCTGGGTATTTTGCTTCTCCGGATGGTATCAACGAGCACCAGCGAATTACAAGGATAGCTTGTCTAGATTTACAAGTTCATATGTTTTTCTGTGCAGATATCTCCTTTTTCTTTCCATTTTCTGTCGGTGAATAATTAATGGTTGTGGTTTTTTCTTTAAATTTTGTGGGGAATTGACGATTCTTGGTTTCTTCCTTTCTGGGTTTATGCAGAAGTGGAGAAATTCTACCATCAGTGCGACCCTGGTAAGTTGATTCACGACCCTTTTCTGTATACTGCTTGCGTTGTGGCATCTGGGTTCTTCTCGACATATCGGAATCTCGAGTGCTGTTCATATTTTTGTGAGCAGGTGAAGTTATTGCCCTCTGTGCGAGTTTTTCTTACTAAAGGCATCATTTTTTTACTGTCTGCAGAGAAGGAGAACTTGTGCTTGTATGGACTCCCTAACGAGACGTGGGAGGTTAACCTTCCTGTCGAGGAGGTTCCTCCCGAGCTTCCCGAGCCGGCTCTAGGCATCAACTTTGCGAGGGACGGAATGCAGGAGAAGGACTGGCTGTCTTTGGTTGCAGTTCACAGTGATTCATGGCTGCTTGCTGTTGCATTTTACTTTGGTGCACGCTTTGGGTTTGGTAAGAATGAGAGGTGAGGTTACTTTCCTTCTTAGCTCAGTTTGGATATTCATGGCTAATGCGTGATAATGCCAGTGGTATACCTAACAGGTAAGGCTCTAACTTTTAGTAGCTGCCTTGTTCTAGCATGCTTTTATGTGTAACTGATGTTATCAATCTCTGGGCTGCCGTCTGTCTGTAACTGTACATCTGTTTGTTTAGTCAGCCATGTTTGAGCTTAACTATAGAAGTGCCTACTGGGACAGAAGTGAAGCTGGGAAAAGAGTGTCTGAGAAGAACTGCATCTAGTTTTCACCCACCCCTGATGTTTTTTACATCTTTCCAGGAAGAGGCTCTTCCAGATGATAAACGATCTCCCAACCATTTTCGAGGTTGTGACTGGCAATGCAAAGCAATCTAAGGATCAATCTGCTAACCACAACAGCAGCAAAGGCAAATCAGGCAACAAGGCATGCCCCTCTTTCTGAATTTCTCCCTCCCTCTTATTCTGATATATGCACAAGTTTATCATCTTATAACAAGTCTCTTTCTCTGATGTGGGACACCTATCATCTTACCCTCTTCTGGGCATTTTCTTCCTGTGTTGGCAAGCAGTCTCGTCAATCTGAGTCCCGCACAAAGTCTTCAAAGATGTCTCCACCACCAAAAGAAGACGAAGAGAGCGGAGAGGAAGAGGAAGAAGACGATGAGCAGGGTGCGGTTTGTGGGGCGTGCGGGGACAGCCATGGCACAGATGAGTTCTGGATTTGCTGTGACGTCTGTGAGAGATGGTTCCACGGGAAATGCGTAAAGATCACACCTGCAAAGGCAGAGCACATCAAGCAGTACAAATGCCCCGGCTGCAGTAGCAAGAGGGCAAGAGCTTGAAGAAGGTAATAACAGAGAGAGAGAGAGAGAGAGAGTAGGGAAATATCAATGTTAGGTGGTGGAAGACGAAAGTTGCCCAAGATTAGAAAGAAGTAAAGAAGAAATCAAGGCTTCTTACTTGCCATGTTGGTGTCTATGGATTGAGACAGTCTTACATTGCTGTTTTTTTTTTCTTCTTAAAATGTCATGGTGATGGTACTACTAATTTCTGTGCTGTTTGAAAAGATATTGCCTTCAAATCACTTTATGTCGGCAACTAGTTTCTTCATTGGGATCATTCTTAGGTTTAACTTGCCTTGCATCTCTTCCCTTTTGGATTGTATCAGTATCACCAATAATCTCTGCAAGAACACATTCCGTCTGAGAAATGGTGAAACCGGTTGTTGTCCCTCACGATGATCTCTCTCTTCTCCAGCTCCGAGATCAACTTCATGGCCGAATGGCAATCCCTACAAACCCTCAGATTCTTCACCACTCGGATCACTGACCCGGGCCGAGTCACGAGAAGGGCAAAACAAACAGCCAATTTCTCACTATGAACAGCCACCATCTCTTCCTTTTCTTCTTCCTCGACATCTCTCAGGACACAATTCTTGTCTGCTACATAACCCAACCTCTTCATTTTCTCTCTCAGTTCTTCCAAAAGCTTGTAGATATCGCCTGAACGTTCATGTGAACAGTCTCCTATTATGAACTTAACCATTTTGCCCTTGTGTTCCACCCAGCTCCATCCCGTTGTCTTGTTCAGTCCCAGCTTCTTCATTCTTTCTCTGCTGGAATCTACGTCCTTCCACCTTGAGGCAGATGCGTATATGTTAGATAGCAAAACAAAGTTCCCCGAATTGTTCGGCTCGAGTTCAAAGAGCTTTTCAGCTGCAAACTCGCCGAGTTTGACGTTTCTATGGATCCGGCTAGCATTCAAGAGAGCGCCATATACTCCTGCATGCGGCTGCATGGGCATTTCGTCGATCAATCTCTTTGCTTCATTCAGCTTACCAACCCGACCCATCAAATCTACGACACAGGCATAGTGATCTACGGAGGGTTCTTTTATTCTTTTGAAGATTCTTTGGCCTTCTTCAACTAATCCTGCATGGCTGCATGCTGTCAAGACGCCAATGTAAGTCACACGGTCTGGCTCAAGGCCTTCTTCTTCCATTTTGGAAATCAAACTTAGGGCTTCAACTCCATTTCCATGAGCAGCGAAACCTGAGATTAGAGTATTGTAGGAGATGGCATCCCTTTCCTTCATTTCATGGAAAACCCTCTTTGCTTCCTTCATGTTTCCACACCTTGCGTACATGAAGACCAGAGAATTGTATCCCGAAATACTCAGCTTGATTCGGTTCTTAGCAATGTACTTAACAACCCAATCACCCAATTCTAGAGCACCGAGATGCCCACAAGCTGAGAGAGCACTAACCATTGTTATTTCGTCCGGTTCCGTACCTCCAGAATCAATCATCTCTTTGAACAGCTCGACTGCTAATGCAGACTGCCCGTTTTGAGCAAACCCAGCTATCATTGAGTTCCAAGACACAACATTTCTCTTGGGCATTTTATCAAAGAGCTCTCTGGCCGTACCCAGATCACCAACTCTGGTATATCCCGAAATCATAGCATTCCATGTGACAAGATTCCTCTGTGTTCCTAACTCATCAAAAATTTTCCTAGCAGCCTTAATATTTCCACACTTTGCGTGCATATCAACCAATGCTGTCTTCACGAAGCAATTCAGATGGATACGCTTCTCATCAATCATTTTGACGAGAGACTGAGCAAGACAAGGGTCAGCACACGAAGAACAGGCGGAAACAATGGTGACCCATGTGGTCTCATCTGGCCTAACCCCAGCTCCCACCATTTCTTTAAACAATCTCAGAGTTTCCTCCGCAAAACCATTCTGGGCATAACCAGCAAGCATAGCATTCCACGAAACAACGCTCTTCTCAGGCATTCTGTCAAAATATCTCCTAGCATGGTTCAAATCCTTCACTTTAGAAAAACCCGTAACCATTGCCGTCCAAGAAACCACGTTCCTTTCATTCTCAGGCATTAAATTGAATAATTTACAAGCTTCATCCTTGTTCCCCCATTTCCAATACCCGGAAATCATCGAATTCCAGTCCGCAACCATTCTCACAGTAATTCCATCGAACACTTTCCGCGCAATCTCAATAGATTCGTACTTCGCGTACATATCCATTATCACATTACGTACATAAGGGTCTCCACCAAAACCCAGTTTCTCCACGTGAGTCTGGAACACGATCCCGGATTTTCCCGCCGACTTGATCACCAAAGGGAAAACGAAAGCATCGGGCTTTACCCCACAACGCCACATTTGTCCATAGAGACGAAGAACTTCGGATGTGAAACCCATATGACAAAAGTATCGGAACATGGAAGTGAAGACAAAGACATTGGGACATTCCGCCGAGTGGAAAACAAGGCGTGGAAAAGAAGGTGGGGCGTGGAGGCGCGTACAACAGAAAACGACACGCGCCGTCCAGTAGTTATGTCTGTGGAGGGAGTTCACGATGAGCTGAGCAAGGAGTTGGTTAAGTTGGGAGAAGGTAACAGCCTGCGAGGCTAAGACGTCCAAGAAATGCGACATGATGACGAGCTTCGAGCTCCTAACATGGCTTCGCTTTTTTCTCCGGCTCTTTTTTCCCTTTTTTTTTTTTTTTTTTTTTTTTTGCCTCCGCTTTGGAGATGTCACTGCTTGGGACAGTTTATGGGCCTGACGTCCATTAGGAGAAAAGCCCATATAAGCCCAAAACTAAAGCGTAGGCCCTCATGAGGGGTAGATTGGTAACCAAATAATAACCAGATTTCAATTCGATTCCGGTTTAGTTATAATTGTAAATGAATCAAATTTTAAAAATATTAGTGATGAAGAATGTAAAAAATCTGTCTCTAGTTGTATATCATAGATGCAAAGTTACGTTAACAACTATATTATATTAATTCCTACGCCATATATAGGTGGACGACGGTTCAGTTTAAGTTTATTCAGGTTCGATAAATTCGGTTCAATTATTTTGGGTTTTGAAAATTATGATTCATCACTTATTTAATTCTATTCATTTCGGTTAAGTCGGTTATAATTCGGTTCAATTAGGTTTTAAATTACTGAAACCGTTCGCCCACTCCAATCAAAACTACATCACGTACGGATCAATGATCCGAGCTCACGTTATTTTGAAATAAAAGGCGTTTATATATATTTTTTTAATATCCAAAGAGAAATGTAATGGACCATTAAATCAAAATACCGATAAAAAAAGAATAAAATTCTGTAATTCTTCTCTAAATCTCCATATATCTGATTTAAAGAAAAAAATTAATAAAATATTTCAATTAAATCTCGATAAAACGGTTTAAACAACGAAAATTTTTCTTATAGAATCTAAGATCATTATAATCCAATCAATTACTTGCAACCGATACTTTTTAACCATATCAAGTTAGTTTTATAAATTTTTTGTTCCATACACACAAAAATATATATATTTTTTCGATAGTTTTATATACAAATCTAGTTTACATAAAAAAAATTCAAAAAAAATTGGTTTATATAATTTACATTACGTAAAAAATTTATGGAAGATACATGATCATTTTTCATAGTATATTTCTCGATTCGCAAGCTCTAATGGATGACCATTTTTATTGAATTATTGAAAGTTATTATTTCTTTATTTTTAAGAGAATAAAAAAAATAAGGAGGAGAATAGAGTTGAGGTATGGGCTTTAGCTTTTATCTTGAAAGACAAAACTTTTTCCTTAAAGTAGGAGAGCAGCTTCTATTGCTCCATCGTTTCCTTTGTTTTTATTTATATATCTGGTAACTATATAATCATTTGCAAGTACTATAATATATATATATATATATATACATACATTGTTGTCAATCAAAAAGGGGGTAAGGGGAGTCGAATAGTATTTTTATCTTATACGTTCCTTTGGAAGATATAAAAACAAATGTCTTTTAGTTATAGATAACAAAAAATATATATATTCCCTATATATATATAATCATTTGCAAGTACCATTTTTAATTTTCCTTTTTAAAATTAGATTACGTGTGAGTATTAGATACTCTCTAGAATACGTGTTGAGTCTGAAATAAACCAAATTATGTTCATTTTTAGCCAATCAGCACATGCAATGCATAATGTTACATCTATTGTTGAACGAAATACAATAAATCCGTATTTTTTATTTTTTATTTGTAAATGTAACCCAAGATGGGGTCGGCAGGGAGAGAACTATGGGCAATAAATCTGTGTGTTGTCGTGTAATATTAAGTTATTAATATATACGTTTTAGAGTTCTTGAACACTTAACCCTAAACTAAGCTAAAAATGTTAACCTATTTTCCGTTACGTTAATTTCCGTGTAATTAATCATATAGTATGATTAATTGTCGGGGATCTCGAAAACAACCCATTTAATTTATTACTATTTTATTTATATAGTTGGTGTTGGAATGGAGTGGGGCTTTTGAATCTCATGCCAAAAGAGATTTGTATTTTTTTTTAAAAAAAAAAAAAAAAGAGTGTAGGAGTTGATGCCATAAACCATGTAAAGTTTTAGACTCGTGGAATGTTCCCAACGGCTACATCCCCGTTCCAATTTATTTAATTATTTTACTACGGTTTTCCCTATTTTATAGACATTTATAATTATTTTTTTTTTGTACCATGCATTCGATTTTTTTTATATAATTTAAAAGTTTACTAGATATACGATCCAACTAAATCTTGCAGAGAATGGAAAAAGTTAATATAAATGGATCTTCCATGGGGAGGATACTTGAATCTAAATTAGGAAAGAGATTTGTCTCATCTTTATTAGTTTAAACCACGTGTTTTTGGGTACCATCCATTCATTTTCATATAAATGTGTATCTATTCTTTAGTAATAATGTTATAAGTTGCACATCATATCACACTTCTATATTTTATATATATATATATATACAGAGAACAAACCTACGTGAAGTTTGAGTTTTGTGATAACATTGTTAGAAACAAGTTGGTAACATCATAAATTCTCAAAAGTAATAGTTTGACAATATCTATAAATTTATTTAAATTATACTAGTTTAAATAAAAATAAAAAATATTATTAATGGTGATTTTAAAGGTCCAAATATAATTCGTAGTTATAGAACTTAAAATATTTTATTATTTTAAAAATATGAGTTTTTTAAAAATATGATAAAAATGTTAGAATTTTCTTTATGGTTGTGGATGTAATATAAATTTTTTTGTTGATAATCCAAAAAGAATAATAAATTTGTGATCGTAACCGTGTCCCTTTATTCTCGTTGTTCTTCTTTTAATACGTATTTTATCTCTCTCTTTTTTTACAGAATGAAATTTCATCTTTACGGTCGAAATATTTTTTTTCAAAAAATTTACTGAGATACCCCAAGTTTTGCTTATACTAACAACATTAAATAGCATCCCATTTTTTATTTTATTTTTTAAGAAAAAAAAGTTGAATAATTCAAAAGGAGAACCAGTAAATACAAAGGACACGAACATCTTGAAGATTGTGATAAATTTTGGACCATCAACCTAACGTCATTTATTCTCGTGGACCCTTTTACTTTTTTTTTTCCTCTTCGCAAAACGTATTTTAGTATATACGAGATTAAAATTTTAATTATAATGTTCAAAATATTCAAATTTTAAAATTTTTGGATATCAAGTACACATGGAATACCATATAATAATACTATATAATCTATTAACCTTCACGCAAACGTTATATTATATATAGTTTTATATACTAAATTCTTATACGGTCGTTTTACAGAAGTTTCTGACGTAATGAAATTTATAAAAAATAAAAAAATAAAAAAAGAAGAAAAATAAAGGTGAGAAAAAAAGCTGGCAGATTGGGAAGAAATACCAGAACAAGAGACAACAGAATAGGAACTTAAGTCCTGTAGAATAAAGCTTACATGCATAATAAGAAAAAGAATAAAGTGAAAATATACTTTTTATAATTTGTTTTGTATTTATTGAAACGAAATTCGACATATATATAAAGTTATCATAGAGTATATATACTACTAATATTATATAAATAAGTTGAAATATATATAAGAATATATCTCTACAAATAAAATTATATATACGCACATATAAATCTTACTAGTTAACTTATTTATATATAAAAATTAAGTCTAATAATTAAAAATAAAATATCTCTGATGCTCTATCAATACTATACCTTATATATTTTTATAATTTTTATTATATATAATTATTTTATTTTTAGATAGACTATTTTTTAGAGTTCAAAGAAAAATGATTAGTATTGCCATTAGAGGTAAGCCTTAAATGTTAAGCAATAGACTAATTTACCACAACCTCCTATCCTTAGCCAAAGCAATAAATAAATAAATATCTTTTTAATTACTCTTTGCCCATGCTTCCAAAATGTCAATTCTGTTCTCATATGTTCCTCTATTTGCAGATCCTACCAGCCAGTGATCATCAAAACCAAAGAGGGTACAACGGTAATTATGGTGGAAACTTTAAAATTTGAATATTTGTCGAATTTAGAGCAACAGTAGTACTCGAAATTTTGTTGGATCGTAATCAGTACATCTCAAAAAAAATTTCATAACAGTTTATAAAATTTATTGATAGACGAAAAAAAATTATGTACAGATAAAATCGTATTTTATAAAAAATAGTTTGTAATCTAAATAATGCTGTTTAATAAAGTGCGTAATGATATTTATGTATTTTATATACATTTCTGATAATACAAGTTTCTTATTCGTAAAATAAATAATTCACATGCATGGCATGACAATCTTGGCAGTATTTAATGTTGTTAAAGGGGGAGCTTCTCCCTGTGATTTTAATTTATATTGACAAATGTAGTGTTATTATTTAAATTTTATAGTCATTTTAAAGAATATAAAAATATTATCATTATTCATATGCAAAGTATTCATGTATCCATGCATCGACACATTTTCTTTTTTTACTTCGACCATTCCAGCATGACGTATAAAACTTATTTTAATTACTATGCTGCTAAAATATATAGAGAAATCAACATATAAGTAAATTACTAAAATATATATATATTTTTTTTTTTGTAAAAGGGTAATTTATATTGCTGAAAAGTGAAAACATTACTATTACATTATTGCATCCATTACAATATTAAAATTCAAAGTTATTGGTGATATATGAATACAAATCCATAACTAGTAAATTTTGGGTAGTCTATATATAATTCTAAAATTGCGTATGTATACTCTCTAATTATATTTCCGTTATAATTTCTAAGCAAAAAAAATATTATTCTGCTTTGATGAAATTCATGTCTGATAGTGCAAGCAAAGCAATCACCCAAGCCTTTTTATTCTTCTTTTTCCCTTATGATCTAGAGCATCAAAGCTCTATATGTGTGTATATATAGATGTGTAAATTTCTAAAGGCTTATATATATGTGTGTATATATATAATGTGTGTCAGTGTGTGTGTGTTTACCACATGATTATGTTATAAATGGTGTGTGAGTTTTTATAATATCTAACTGTGAGGACAATGATGTAAAGCTCTATGTGTATTTTCTCCCTTTGCAATTCATTTAATGACAATCATTGAATATCTTTAATTGAAAATATATGTGGCCATTAAAAGACATGTCTCCACTATATATATATATATATATATTATATGTATCAATTATGGTTTTATTAATAGTGAAATATATACAATTAAAAATATTACTGAGTGTTGAAAGATGGTAACTAGAATTTTGAGCACTAAAAATATATTGTTTCACTGTCTGTAGGAGAAAAAGGGGAAAAAAGGGAGAGAGAAAATTCCGCATTTGTATCCTCTTGCTTTCTGGCTTTCACTACTAATACTCTATGCCCTTGATTTAGCAAGTGCCTTCACTTGCAAAATCCACCTCCAAATCTCTCTCTCTCTCTCTCTCTCTCTCGTCATCTTTTACTGGCAAATTCCGGCCTAAGTTCTTAAAGCTGCCTTGTTCCTGCTTATGTAGAAGCCATATATACACATAAAAAGTTTTGGTCTTTGAAAGCAATTTAAGTGAAAGTTTGCTGCTTTTGGTTGCCAAGGTATGTTCTTCAATTCAATCATGAAACCTCTCTCTCTCTCCCCCTGCGAACAGTCTGAATTTCTCATTAAATTCCACAGAATGTGAGATGGGTATATCCAAAGATGAATTTGTTCTTTGATGAACCATTTTTAAGTTTGTCTTGTTCATCATCACCATCAATCTCTCGCCTGAACTGAAACAGTAGAGACTTCTTTTGAAGTGGGTCTGTCAGCTTTTGCTGGAACAAGCTTGAAAGAAGGGGCTTTGAGTCTGGTATTATTCCCTTTGTTCTCTTCTTCTTTTTTGGGCTCTTTCGATTTTAGGGTTTTAATCATTTCTCTGGTTTTTAATATATATATATTTAAATGGTGTCTCATGAGTTGCTCCTAAAAGAGCAGACATTTGCCAAGAAAACTCCCTAGGGTTTAATCGAGAAAGCAACCACCTTTTATAGCTTAATCATTTGATCTATATTAGTCTTTAATTGTCCCTTTGCACCTTCTCCCATTGTCTTCTTTTCTTCCTGACCGGTCTCTTTCGGTCTCCAGATCCATGAACACTTTGAAAACCCACAAAACCCAAAGGACGAGTCTGAAGGAATTTGCAGTTTTGTAGAAACCCAAGAATGGAGATTTCAAGTCAAGAAGATCATGAAGTGCCCATCCCAATAAACAGTGCATACGGTGGTGGGCTTGGGCACTTGACCCATCATCACCACCATGATCCTGCTGCTAATTCCGCTCATTCAGCTCACGGTAACAGCACCAACATCATCAACCCAGAAATCCCATCCAATGGTAATAATGGGCATGGACATTATGAGCATCATCATGATCAGGAAGACCACCACCATCGTCGTCATCATCAACATGTAGGGGGTTACAACATCATCATCAACAAGAAGCAGCGGCAGCAGCAAGGTACGAAGTACAAGGAATGTCTGAAGAACCATGCAGCCGCCATGGGAGGCAATGCCACTGATGGGTGTGGAGAGTTCATGCCGAGTGGTGAAGAAGGCACCATTGAAGCTCTCACTTGCTCCGCCTGCAACTGCCACAGAAACTTCCACAGAAAAGTAGTCGAAGGAGAAACAATCCCATTACCTTACTACCACCATTACCATCACCCACCGCCTCGACAGCTCATGCTTACTCATCACCATCGCCACAACAACAATGCCCACAAGATCAGATCAGCAGTGCCACATCAGATGATCGTGCCGTACATGCCAAACTCCGAGTCCGAGGACCAGATGGAGGAAGACGGCGGCGGAGTTTCCATGGCGGCGGCGAGGCCAGCTCCGCCGTACAGCCACCAGAAGAAGAGGTTCCGTACGAAATTTACTCAAGAACAGAAGGAGAAGATGATGAATTTCGCGGAGAGGGTTGGTTGGAAGATTCAGAGACAAGAAGAATCAGTCGTCCAGCAGTTTTGCCAAGAGATTGGAGTCAAGAGAAGGGTCCTCAAAGTTTGGATGCACAACAACAAGCACAATCTTGCTAAGAAGAAGAACAGCACCGACAACGTTAACGACCTCAACATGTCCGGTAGTAACGACAATAACGCCACTGGAAATCTTGATTCTACTGCTTAAATTATGATCTCGTTAATCAAGTGCGCTATCCATCCATTTAATCACAGTTAGTTAGAGTTAATTAAGCTGATGATTAGGGTTTTTTAAAAATTAATTCCTAGTAGGCTTTGTTGTTTATGTGAGGTGGTTATGTCATGTATGTGATCGATGCCTTGGGATTTCCAGTGTTGTTAATTTCTGTGACAACCTTTTTTTATGTCATATAATTCTCAATCGACTGATAAAAGTGGATTATTTTTGCAGTTATATAATATATATATATA